CCTCCTTTCTCACTGATGCCATACTACTGAGTTTTAAACAAATCCTTCCAGGTCTAGAATAGCAGACTCCTGCTTAACACTCAGCTTCCTTGACTATAAAGCAGGTTTGACATAAAAGTGTTTTAAGTACAGGGCCAGCAGGTGGCATGGTGGTTAAGGTGCTAGATCTCACGTGGTCCTCCATGGTTTGAGTCCTGGACCTGGCGGCTTAAAAATCATACCAGGCATGTGTGCATGCATGTCTAGAATCCCAGGGAAAGACTGGAGGAGAAGAGATTGTGGCATGGCCATCCTCTCTGGGGAGTGATTTCTTACTTTCCCTCTCACCGTCTTTCTCTGTGTCTCTCCAGTAAACACACATGCCCTAAGGCAAAAACTTAAAAATAAAAGTCTTATAATTAGATAAAAGCTGCTAAATAATAATTTTCTATAAGCATCTAATATCTATTAAAATAGATATTATAGATTTATTTTTATTTAAATAAATAAACCTGGAAAGTGATAGTGTATTTTGCTAGAATCTGATACTTTAATTTTGTTTTCATTTATCATCTAATATTGTGTTCCACTACTTAAATATAGAAAAACACAAAGACTCAATGGTCACTTACACAATGCGTGGCTGTAAGTGTGCGGTTAATCAGTGGGTCTAGCTCTCCACCCTGAGCTCCGGCTATGCTTGCTAGCCTATCGGCATACACTAAGTGGTAATGACATTCTAAGGGACTCCCTCTGGGATGAGGAGTAATGAGATTAAGCTTTACTCATCTGAAATATATATTAAGAACGCTGAGGACTACTGTGGGCAGGCAGAGACGTCTGATTTATCTCTAAGCACAGATACGAGGACAGGTGACTTGTGTGTCACTCGAAAGGCAGTGCCATGCGAAGTAAACGCTTCCCAAATACGGCTAAGAAAGCACCCCCCATTCAGACTTAAGGAGAGGCGGCTCTCACTGAACTACAAGCTACACCGTTCAGGATTCGGCTTGTCTTCTGTCAGTTTTGCGCCCTAGAATCATTCTTAATGTAATTCTTTTTTATGTCTAAGTGGTCACAGAGAATATCTTGGTTGTTTAATATAGCTATCGGTTATTTAGTTCTTTCAGTGCAAGCCAGGTTCTATGACTGATTAACTGGTAGTTTTGTTTTTCTTATTATTTTTTGCTATAGGGCATGTGTGCTCACTGGACGGAGAGAGACAGAGAGACAGAGAGAGAGAAAGAGAGAGAGAAAGCATTTCCTGGGGGTGGGGGAGATGGCCCCGCCACAACCCCTTCTCCTCTGTTCTCCTCTCAGGATTTTGGGGAGTACACATGATTGGCATATTTTTCAAGTCACTAGATATGGGACTAGAACCACACAATCAGCCATGTGGGATCTAACTCTTTAACTGCCACACCACTGGCTGGCCAGATTTTGTTTTAAATTCTTAAAATAATTCTAGATAATCATAACCCCATTTTATAGATTAAAAAAAACACCCTGCACCTTTAAATCTATCTTTTCCTTAGGGTAGAGATATGTGAAACAGATCAAATGGAACCTCATGCCTGTGAAAATTAGAATTTTTAGGATCAAACTAGATTCTCTAGAAGAAGACAGGACTTATAATGAGATACCATGGTTCTAATTTAGAAATAGTTTTCTGTAATTACGGAAAGCAATATAGTTTAAAATATTTATTTTATCTTCTAAAAAAATATATCCTTATGATGACATAAAATGAAAAATGGAAAGACTACATTAAACATGTTAGCAATTCAATTCTTTATTATAGGTACAGTATTTGTTATTTGGTGTAATGTGTCATTCTCTAAACTGAGTCACTATGTTTAGTAGAAATCAGAGAAAAACAATATTTTAAAAAAGAGAACAAACTCCTATCACACTACTTTAATCCAAGGTCAATAAAAAAGAATTACATTAAAACAAAAACGAAAGAGGAAAAACTGATAAAGACCACTATATCCACAGGGCAATCTGACAGGTAAAACAGCCTTGACTTCTTAAGTAACCTGCTGGTCACGATGTGTGCCCATTCTCCTGACCTGTAACTCGAGGAGCAAGCCTCAGTGCTGGACGCGGAGCACAGTGAGGGCCTCGTCCCCACTCAGAACGCGCGAGTGAGATCACTGCCAGTTCAGTGTCCCGTGAGCTTAGACGGCTGAGACACCCGCAGAAGGAGCACGTGACAAAGACGAAGACCCCGCCAACAAATCCTTGGGAAATGCACAGTTCAGGAAAAGTAAGAGTTTACCAACCTATCACCGGGTCCAGCTCGGTACCGCGCACCTGGGATCAGGACAGGGTCGTCGTCGCTGTCGTCCGTGTCCTGGAAAGCAGTGTCTCTGGCTGGCGCGTCCTCATGAGCTGAAGGCCCGACGGCGTCTGTGTGGGACTGCGGCTGACTGCTAGCACTCGCAGTGCCAGTCTGACCTGAGGCCTCTGGCTCCTTGTCTTTCTCAGAAAGTGCAGCTTCTTCTGGGACCCCACAGGGACTACCGAGACTGAGGTCATGCCCTTCCTCTGAGCGGGAGTCCAGCGGCTCGGCCGTGAGCAGGTCTGACTGTGCTGTCAGGAAACAGCAGTAACAGCTGGTCACCGGGCGGCATAGACTCAGCCCACCTAGACACTGAGATATTTTCGAGATGAAGCCCCATCTCCCTGTATGGGAGGGAAATTCCATAACACATCTATCTGGAAATGCCGTTACGTCTGGAAAGACTAACAAAGACTAAGGCTTCCAACACGAGCAAGACAACTCACCTGTGTCTACCGGGTTCTGAACTGGGCTTTCTGCAGATGCTCCTTCCTGACATTTTGTCATTTCTTCTGATGATTCCTCAGGAGCTTCTGAAGTAAACCAAATCATTAGTAAATCCAAATTTGTTAGGAAAGATAATCACCAACTGAGCATTGTAGCTTTCTAACCCTTTCTGGTCACAGACACCTCCGACTCTCAGGCCCCTGCCAGCACAAGGTCGGTCTATGTCTGCTACTGCGTAAGCGCCACCAGGGCGGACGGCCCCTCCCCAACACCAGCACGGAGCGTCACGGACTCCATGAGGGATCTCTGCTACACAGGATCTCCACAGGAGGGTTACTCCACCTGCGTTCTCTAACCTTTCAAAATCTAAACTTAAAACTGAACAATCTTCTGGCCCTTTATCATGCAGATGGTACAATCTGAACTAATATGAACAAATGGTTGTGTTGACCTTACCATAAATTCTGCTTTGGCTACTGGAAACAGTTAATTCTAGTATTTAATTGTAAGACCTATAAAGGATCAGGTTTTTTTTTTTTTTAAAGGAATTATTTATTTATTTACTTACTTATTTTTTTTTTCACATGTGCTTGCAACAGAGAAAGAGAGAGAGAGAGAGAGGAAGAGAGAGAGTGCGAGAGTGCACGCAAGCTGCCAGGTCCAACTTGAACTGTAGTCAGTCATGTGGGAAATTCAGTGCCTTCACCACCACACCATCTGCTGGCCCCAGGATCAGTCTTTTATGCTCCTCTGTTATTCGGATGGTTGTCTTACACTTATTTAACTCTAAACTGTTGTAATGAGGTTAGTACTGATTAAATACCAGAACTAATGTGTTCTTTCACTTACCGAGCATTTACTGAACATCTATTTGTTCTGGTCTCTGCACTAGATACATTTCATATAACAGTCATGTAAAAATATTCTACTAGGAAAGGGGTCTGAAAAACTCCTTAAACTGCACTTCATGTAAGAAACAGATTCACTCATAAACTGTTTAGTTTTATTCCTCTCCAATAATCACCTGCACTCCTTGGAAGAATCACGACAGACACTGTGAATTTTACGACAAGGGATGAAAATAGCAAAGGTGACTCAGACTGACATCTGGGTCTCACACACACCAGAGTATGACTCCCTCCGTGGCCACTGTCTCCGGGGGGGCTGTCTGTCTAAGGCCGCTCCCTGACTTGGGCACCTGCTGTCTGTTTATCAGTGTAACGGCTGGACCACAAAAGTAGGCATTACGTTTAATAACACAGGAACAGAGGGAACAGAAAAACAGGTGGACGTCCAACACTGGAGCTTTATAACGACAAGAGCAAAGGAACACCTTACTTGTCTCACTGCCTTCTTCCGGTGGCTGCATGGAGCTCTGTGGGACCAAGGGTTCCTCCTGACCCTCAGACTTGCAATGGCTTCCATTTCCTCTAGAACTGGAGGCTGTACTGCTCCTATTGTCAAAACAAGGGTAAGTGGTTCCACTTGTAAGTTAATAAATACAATGTCTGATTTTTGTATTTGAAAAGTAGAGAAAATAGATCAAAGAGTTAATACAAATACAATGTTAAATTCATCATTTTAATAGTACTTGTAAATATCATTTTAAAATAACCAGATGAATAATATACTTTGGTCTAAAAAGAGATTTAAAAGTACAAAAGGACTGCCTCTTCCCTGTTTTCATGGCTCTATTATCTAGTAAATATTTCCACACGCCTCTCTGCTGAATTTAGAGTGGGTTACATTAACCGTGTCGGCACTGCAGGTGTCTCGCCACAGCCCGACCCTTGACAGTGCACAGACATCGCTGGGGTGCTGTTCTGAGCTATTCTGTAAGCAGCCTGGCCACCCTTTGGTGGGCCACTTCCAGTTCTGCTCCGCTGTTCAGGTATGGCAGGTGTCTGCCCATCACAGTTTTGTAGAAGGATGGGACAATGTTTTCTGTCTTTGCGTTCATATCCACCTGATAATGACCACAGTTCTGTTCCCATGTCTGGCTATCGCAGAATAACAGGCCAATTTAAGTAGATAATTTCAATGAGTATTCTGTGATAAATCATGGAATATGTGTAAGGAGGGAATGAAAGTGGGAAAGAAGATAAAGTTTAACAATCAGATTAAAATTAGATTTATAGAAAGTCAATAATTCCTTGAACTTAGAATAAAATGAGAACAAGAAAAAGAAACTTAAGAGTTAAAGTAATCTAAAAAATTAATTATAGACAAATAGCACCAACTTGATAAACAATACAAACTGTGGGATGCGGAAATGGTTCATTATTTATTGATGAAGATGTGTGTAGTATTCTCAACTGGGCTGGACTGAGGTGTATATCATGCTGGGTAAAGTCTCTTTATAATCTAAATGATGTATAATGATTAAGTGTATAAATAATAATAAAAAAATTAAAATAAACAATACAAATTATCAAGGATGTTTTAATGCGATTTTATAAGAGCCCTTTCAGGCTAATCACAGAAGTCAATTTGCTTTTTTTTAAAGAGGGCATATATTTGTGATATATTATTATTTCAAATGAGAAGTATATCCACATGGGTGCATATGGAGAGAAGACGCCAGGAGGGCTATCTACAGCGCTGTCATCTCAGGGTTATTACAGGTGGACTTGCTATAATCCATTCTTCTTTTCCATCAGAGAAGAACATAGAGCAGTCTTGGTAAAGGGCAGTCAATATGATGTATAACTCTGTTCTCTCCCCCTTCACTGAGAAAGGTGTAAGAAAGCGTTCTTCCCAACTGAGAAAGCATTCATGTCTGTAATAGACATGAATGAAATGCTCAGTGTGTAATCGTTATGATAATTAACATAATGTGGTCATGTAAAAATGGAGAGCCATTAGTGGAAAAGACACAGTAACCAAGTAAATATATTTAGCACATGTTAATATGACATTTTAAATCACAAGAAGGTTAAAAGGGTGGTCAATAAGTGGTACTGGGACACAGAACAGTCATGTGAAAAAGCTAGAGCTATAGCTCATACTTCATGGGAAAATCAATTCTAGAAGATTAAATACATACTTCTTGATATAAAATTACAGAAAATATGAGAGAAAAATCAGAAGACACTTCCCCCAAATCCTGAGAAAGACGAGCCTTTTCTAAGCATGAAATAACAAGCAGAAACTATACAGCAAAACCACCAAAAAGCAAACGGAAAAACAAACAACCAACTGGGAAAAACACTTGCGACAAATGAAAGACAAATGGTATCACCCTCACTTGAATCTATAATAAATCTATATAAGAGGCTCTGGGAAATCAATAAGAAAAAGACAGGCACCGCTGCAGAAAGCTGGGTCCAGTGTTTCGAAGGCAGCCTCAGGCGAGAACGGTGGCCAGCAATTACTCGGGGCCTTGGTTTGCCATCAGTGTACTTAAGAGCTGCGCACCGCCTCTGCACAGCCCCAGTCAGCCCTCACGACAGGCCTTCGATGCAGACTCTAATATGCCATTTCCAGTGGAAAACCCTGTGATTCAGCGTTCAACAGCTTGCCCCATGCAGAGACTACACGCTCACCGTGTTCTATCCCTCGGCTGTTGTCAGAGAGACTAAACTAAAACCCAGACACATACTGGCACAGATGAAGGAGACTGCATACTTTTTTTGAAGGTTCTTTTATAATGAATATCAAATACTTTAATAATAAGAAAATGCTAATTACTTTTTGACAAAGAAATAAGTTGATGAATGAGAGAATATAGTTCAAAGTCAGTTTTTAGAGAAGTAGATTGAAAAAAAGAATCGGATTAACGATCCCTTCTAAAAAAGACTCAGAGGGACTTCTCTATAAGTCAGCCCGTTTGGTACAGAACCAGAACAGAAAAGACACGGAAGGTAAGTGCGACCACTCTGCTCGCATTATGCACTGAGAGCAGGCTGTAGATGCGACAGTAGTTAGCCGGAAAGCCAAACACTATAGCTACAGAGAAATGCTCATTGCACCAGTAAGCACTGGGACCACTCGCTGGCCACAGCTCCACTGCGCCGTCCTGGCCCACACGGCCGCAGCTTGCACCTGCTCACTGCCACAGCCTTCAACTGGTCTCCTGGCTTCTAACAATGGTGCCTTTTCAACACCTCTACCAGAAATGTCCTTCTCCTTTCAGTTACCCTCTTCATTTTCTTGGAAGACTTTATCTGCTCCTACTCACTCCTTTGGTCACTATTCTAGCCACACTGGTCTTCCCAAAAATCCCCCCGCATGCTCAGGGTGCTTCAGCCTCAGAGTCTTCCACCCTGCTCTGCTGCGGCCTGAAAGTTCTCTCAGAGCAGCGCTTGGCTCAGCCCTTCTCATGCCCTAGGACTGTGCCCAAGTGTCACCCTCTCAATGACGCCTCTCCCTTCCCTAGGTCTCCCAATCACTCCCGCCCCGCCCCATCTCCTCCCAAGGCATGTGTCAGTCCAGGGGACACTTATTTATCATGCATCTGCCTTCCTGACCTAGAATATAAGCTCCAAAAGGGCAGAGATTTTTTTCAATGATGTATTTCCAGCATCTAGAATAGTCCCTGTAACAAAGAAGGTACCTACATACCTTCTAAGTTATTTATAAATAATATTTAGAGATTTTAATATAAATACATATGCACATAAACACAAATGGAAACCAGGGAATTTAAATAAATAAAATTAATATCATATGCCAACATATAATTAAATACACTAATAAATAATATATCTATACTAAATATTATTTATACATGTCATGCTAACATATAACAATAATATATTAATATATAATGAAGCATATTAATATATTAATCATAAAAATATGTTGGTTATAATAAAAATGATACATTACATATTAATAAACATCACATAATTATATTAGATTATACATTAAGAAATACTCATTACCAAGATATTGATTAGTATCATTAAAATTTAAATTTTTTAAATAATCATTTATGTATGCTGTCTCAATAAAAATGTCATGAGACTGGGAAAGAATGCACGAAGCTTACATAATCTGACTTTTTTAAAAACAGAAGATCTAACTAGGTTGAGTAATAAATATAATAAAAAAGTCATGAAAGATAACATATACAGCTATTACGTAAATATAAAGAACCAATTAAATAGAAATTAAAACTACTCTAAAATGAAATATACAAGTGTAAGTGAACATATTAAGCATGGCCTGGAAAAGTGAACCGTGGACTTTCATACGCTGCTGGTACAAAAACCATGAGAAGATTCTTTTGGACAAAAATTTGCAATATCTGTGATCTAGATAAAGGCCATTTCTGAAAACATCTCTCAAATCATCTTCAAAGTAGAAAACAACTTGGGAAGCAGACCCGCTACCCAGCTGAAGTGAAGCGGCGACGTCGACTGTGGCACGCTTACTCGGCGGCTGCTGCACAGCTAGTAAGCTAATCCTGCAGTCGAGTAACGAGCCCAGCCTGTAGCATGGTGAAGGAGGCTGGGTCTCACGTGGCTGACTGTGCCGTTCTAGGTTCGCTTCTGGCGGTTTGAGAAACAAGTTCGGCACATGTGCGTGCTTGCTCAAAATCACCCCCAAAAAGGACGGGGAAATGGAGGAGAAGGAACTGGCATGACCCTTCCCTATGGATGCTTTCTCACTATCTCATGCTGTGCCCTCTTTAAGAACGGAGTAGTAATGTGGAAATATCTGTGATGAAGTTAAGTTAAAGGAATGCGGAGGATGCACTCTATTCAGTGTAAAACAAACACACATACACATGTACCTACAGACTAAGACTGTAACAAGCTCCAACATGATACCTGTCATTTTTCCACTAATGGTCTACAGGTGATTATCATTATCTTTTGCATTTCTGTCAGAAGAAATACTCCAGGATGAACATCAGCATAACTCAGAAAGTTTTTAGAATTACAAACTCTCGGACCCTACCCCAAATCTAATCTGAGAGTGGGTCCAACTCTCCCAGTGATTCTCAAGCACACTGAAGTTTGAGAACCATTGCAATGCATTACAGAGTAACAAAACATAAAGACGAGGAAGTGCTAAATACGAATATCTAATGCAATCCTACAAAACAGCTAAGAACGTCTGAACAAAAACAGCAACTTACCATTCATCTGTAAAGTTCAGTTTTATTGTGCTTGTAGTTGTTCCTTCTGTGCTGTAGTGCAAACTTAAAACTGGTTCACCTGTCCCTGGTTTGGGGCTCAGCTTTTCATTATTGTTATCTGAAAATTGTGTTTAAAACATTTGAAAAAGTCTCTGAAACCAGTAAAAAGATGACATTTCCTAAAACTTATAAAACTTAAATTAGGTTGTCCTTGTCATAAGTCTTTCCACATCTGTCATGGTTCTCAGGGTTCAAAGGCAAGTGCTTTATCTAGACACCCCTCATACTTCAACGTAGCACTAAATCAAATCCTAGCTTCGTGCACAGGGCTCCCTTCCCCAGATGGAAGGCACACACACTGAGAACCACATTTAGCTTTTAGGGAGTCAGGGTATTAACATGCAACCACATGCGTCATAGACCACTCGTGACCCTGTCCTTCAGCTGCCAGAGCACCAAGGATCACTAACATTGCCCCTTCAGAAGCACTGGAACGAGAGGCAAGGGCCACACAGGAAGTCACCCAGCAAAGACCCAACTGCAAGTAACGGCTGTCCAGCTCATTTCGTTCTTTTAAACTCACAGAATTGCATTTCAGGAGTGGTCACAGCCTGCACTCCACGGCAGGAAGAATTTTTTGTGCTTCGATATTTCATAAACTCTCTTTGTTATAAGATCATGTTTTTGATGTATTTCGGCTTCTCTTCCTGACTAGTCTTGCAAGGGATCTATTTTTTAATTATGGAAATAGCAATTTCATCTTAAGAGTCTATAGATGATGACCATGACACATATTTACCTCAATGGGTAAAACCTTTTTTAAGTGGCAAATAAAATGTACAGAAATGGCTATAGACTACTCAGAGCCACCCCTCTCAAAGTAATGTATACAAGCTACTCAGTGATAAATTTAAGCAGGACTTCTGATTATGATTTCTTTCCTTTTATGATGAATAACAGCTTGGGGAAATATGAAAATACACAGAAATACAAAAGAATATAAAATTGAATAAGACACATTCCTGACAGTTGCTGGCAGAAAGAAAACTTATGTTGTAATAGTTTTCTCAATAGTAGTTCAAGGAGTGATATAATAGCACTAAAAAGAAGCTTCTTCCTTAAAAAATAACAACAAAAACAATGACCACTTAGTAAAACCAGAACTACTCAGCTTTCTGATTATTACGAGCACGTTATATTGCAACGAAGGAGAAGAGATGCTCAGAGGAGCTCTGCTGTAGCTTTCGGGCCAGGAGAGGACCCTGAACAAGACTTTCGACAGAGCTGCCCCAGACAGGAGAAAGCACCCAGATGAGGGGTGGAGCTGAGATCAGTTCTTGTGTCTTTACTTCAGCTCATGAGAAGTTCTGTCCTACAAAACCACTACGGAAAAATATGAGCGTGGGGGCCAGCAGTTGGCATAATGGCTAGTCCGTGATCGACCGTGGTTTGAGTCTTGGACCCGGTGGCTTAAACTCAGCCGGGCGCATGTGCATGCGTGCCCAAGATCCTGAGAGGAGAATGGAGGAGAAGGGATTGCAGCGTGGCCATCCCCCCTGGGGGGTGATTTCTCGCTTTCTGTATCTCTGGCGATCGCACGCACCCTATAGCAAAAACAACAACAACAAAAACAGTGTGCATTATACAGGTGGCATCACAAGTGGGAAAATCACTTTGCTGCTATACTACTTCTGTTATGACTAAATCCTTAATATAATCAGCTATGGGAAATAAATGAACAACCCATTACAACTTTCAAAGATTCAGTAAGGTCAGTGTTTTAGAGGTAGTATTTTGCCAAATGGCATTCTGGTAACACAATTGAATGAACAAACCTTTAGCTTATAAAATGACTGAAGATGTGACTTTAAATACACCTGTCCTACCCTTGACTATCTTTGAAATCTGTTTGCTAGTCGCCTGCCCACACATGGCTTTCCCTCATTCTTTACTTATGTTGCTGAGACTTTTGTCCCACTGCTGCCAACATCACTATCAACTTCGGGCTTCTGGAATTATTGGGGACAGACAACTACGAACTGGATGATCAAGGAAATGGAGAGGCAGACTTAGGGGTTAGTTTTTTCATTATCTCTCACTTTTTTTTTTTTTTAATTGCCAGAAGGTGTATGAACTTACCAGAGAGAGACAGAGAAACAGAGAGGAAGAAAGAAAGCACCCACCAATGGACTGTGGTCATGCTGCAATTCCTTCTCCTCCATTTTCCACCCTGTTGGGATCCTGGGCACATGTGCCAGTGTTTTTCAAGCCACCAGGGTCAAGATTTGAACCACAGTAGGCTGTGTGTAATCCAGCTCCCTTAACCACTGGGCTACAGGGCTGGCCCTCTCACATTTTATAAAGTGTTTTCTATTTATTTTTCTTTTAAGGTTAAAAAAAAAAAAGCAAACACAAGTGTGAGAGAAATATAGAAATGAATGTTCTTAGATTCATCTTGGTCACAGAAGCCTAAGTTAGAAGAAGCCTTGTGAGATTTAAATGCTATACCAAAATGCCTTTTAAGAAATATTAAAGAGAATTTTATTTATATGCTATGACTACAAGAATAACAATTAACAAAGAGTTCTCAAGAGTCAGAACAGTAAACATTTTATTTAAATTTATATAGTCCCTTTGCCCTGCCCAAAGCAAAAAGCTTCCAGAGATGATCAATCATAACTGAAACTTAATTCCTAGGGTGTCCAACTCCTATTTAATCTCTCAGGAATATAATACGTAAACTATAAATCGTGTGAAATATAGTAGCAGTCATTTCACCGTAATGTGACTGGAGCTGACAAAATCTGCTCCCGTGGGTTGCTAATGAATGTACAAGCCTGGCACGAGCTGTCCCATCACTCTGAAACAGGGGACTCTCCGGCTGTTACGACAACAGCTGCTTCCTGCAGGCTGCACATAACTGCGCGGCGTCCCGGCAGATGCACGGCGTACACAGGACCTGGCTTCTCCCACGACGGTGTCACCAGGAGACCTACCTGAGGCTCAGAATTAATTTGCAGTCTTGCTTCCCTCTACTCTCCGACTTTACCCCTCCCTAGTTTATCACGCACAGCCTGTCAGCAGGCATTTCCTCAGGAATGGGATCCCTGGGTCACTAAGGACTGCATTTACCACTTGTGATAAAATGCACACTTCAGCAGAGATGTCCAAGAAACATCTACTTTAAAACCCTAATAAATTAAACCTGCTTAATTTTGACTTTATTGAAAAAAAGAAAACTAGCTATTTAAGTTTTCTCTAATTTGCTCTACTTGTTCAAAGCTGGAACAGCAAATATTAAAAACTGTATTTTTCTAATTTGCTTACATATGTATAATTGCTGAGGTATTCTGCATAAGAAGTTTTATTTAAAGGCCTTAGGATTTAGAACTTATTTACACATTCCTCTTTAAAATCTATTTTTCTCAAGTTACAGAGGTTTCCTTTTCCCGCCCTTTGAGGGAGAGAGGAGACAGGTGTTTTGACAGAGGCCAGCTGTGTGGTCGCGCCCTCCCATGTGCAGGATGGCAGGCATGCACCATGCCCGGTGTATTCAGGTTGGCAGGGCGGGACTCGGGGCTCCCGTGCAGCTTCCGGACTCCTCGGTGGTGGCAGTACTTGTGAACCACTCTGGCTAAGCCCAGGTGTCCTTCTACATTAAGTTCCTACTTACAGTGTCGCCTTAGAAACACAAAGAATAAGATAAAAGAGCTAAAATAAGTAATGATGATAAGAAACACCAATTGTTGGTGTTATTGAGAAATCTATCATTCACATCAGCAATGTGTGTAGGACCGGTACCATTTCTGAGAGCCCAGATGGTCACTTTGGTATCAGAGAGAGAACTGTGGTGTATTTTCTGGGGGCACTTAGCGACTGAACTGTTTCTTCTTTCTTCAGAAATATGACAGAAGGGACATTCATTGGTGGTGTGCTTAGCACAAAGACATCCAGTTTACCGGAAGAGAGGACTGCCTTCAGTCACCTTCCCCTCCAGCGGCTTTCCTCCCGGCTCATCGTGCTGAACCACTTTTCTTAGTTCTCATCTTTCTTTACCTCCGGTCTGAAATCCAGCTTTGTCCCTACCTCTCCAGGGAAACTGCTCTAGTAAGGAGACACACGCTCCCGTGCGGCCTGTTTTCGAGGGGCATTTCCAGAGCCAGTGCACTCGGCCTCTCCCGGCCCTCACCTGAAGAACTTTCACACGTCGAAATGGGTCCTCTGTGGCCAGGACACCACTGCCCCTTCGGCTGGGCCTTCTTAGTCTCCCTTACCAGCTCTCCTCTTGAAAAAAATCTTTAATTTGGGAATTTTTCTAATTTTTCTTGAGATGTTTTAGATCTTCTCCTCCCTCCTCTACGTTATACTTTCGCCCTGGCTGACCTGCCTTCATGGCTTCAATGACTTCAATGACCATCCACGCCTAAAATTCCAGTGAACTTCCAGTGCTCTGAACACTTTCCTAAGCTCCACATCATCCAGTCAACCGCCCAGCCAACTTTCCACTTGGGTACCTCACATGTGTAACTCAAATTCGGTGTTCAAAGCTGAGTTCACAACCCGCCCCCCTCCAACACACACGGTGCAGCCTTTCTCTAGGGCTGCTCATTAGGGAGCATCCTAGCAGTGGCTGGAAAAGCCGCATGCTAATCTCCACCAGTACCTCCCACGTGGCCCCACCAATAACCTCTAAGTAAAAACTGTATTTGCTAAACTAAAGATTTAAGACACGTTCTCTGGCCCTGCCCTCCCAATCTGATTGCAATTGGTGAGCTGCTTCCATACAGGAATTCTGAGGTTGCTGACTACATTTTTTTTTTTTATCTTTTTTTTTTTTGGAGTGGTTTTTTCGCTATAGGGCGCATGCGCTCGCCAGACAGACAGAGAGAGAACAGAGAGACAGAAAGCGAGAAATCACCCCTCAGGGGGGATGGTCACACGGCAATCCCTTCTCCTCCATTCTCCTCTCAGGATCTTGGGCACGCACGCACACGCACCCAGCGTGAGTTTTAAGCCACCGGGTCCGGAACGCGAACCGCGGTCGACTACGTGGGAGTCCAGAGACATAGCCATTACGCTAACTGCTGGTTCCCGCTGACTACATCTTATACTCGAGAC